AATTATGCATTGTAAATGTATTGCTAGTCATGAAATAGCATATGAAGTATACATCAGTAAAGTATATGATTAGTATCAAATAGTAATGTGAAGACAGTTTATATATCCTCTGATGGGGGGGGGGGGGACCACTTTATCTCCAGATCCTCCATTCGCAAATAGATGGATGAGTTTCGATTCAAAGCAAAAGACATATATTATGACACTGTTTTTTAAGCTGTATTGACCAGCCATAGTAGCTGCTGGTTATTCTGCCAATCAAACACAGAGAAAACAAACCGTGACTGTCAATAATACTGGAAATATAGTTACAGTAAGAGCAGACTTTTGAGTCTGCAAGCAAGTAAATCAAGATGTGCCGAGAGCTGCCCATCTGGGGGTCTGTGGCCCATGCATGACCCCTAACAGCTCTCCAGGCGCAGAATGCATATACAGTATATCTCTGATTGATGTTTCTTCTGTCCATGTTAGACTTTTTTTTGTTTTTTTTGTACGCACCAAGAGGAAATCACCATCCATGACAGACAACCCTCTACGCACACCTTGGCAATATAATTGCCATTGGCTAGTAATTTTTTTTTGTTTACTCGCCAGACTGATATACTATTTTACACACACACACACGTTTACTTAGCTATCTAATTGGGGACATTACATAGACTTCGATTGTTTTTATATACAGATAGTTATACACTTTGTAACCTAAGCCCACCCCTACCCCTCACAGAAAACTTTCTGCATTAATACAATTTCATAAGTTAAAAAAAAAAAACTTTGTTTACTTTATTTTTATAACAGTTTTACAAATGAGGACATCCACAAATTGAGGTTTTTGCCGATTTTGTCAGGTTTTGCTCACTTTTGGGTACAAATTTGTCCCCAATATATGGTTAAGTAGGTATACACACACATATATGATTCCACCCAATCATCTTATCTTTGTAAAATGGAACAGCTTCTTAAATAACTGAATGTGCACTCTTAACTTCAGCCAATCAAGCATTATATTATGATATTATGATAATTAAGCACTATTTAATGATAGAACTAGTGATTAGAACTAAAACTTGGTAACCATGAATGAATGCATATTTGTCATTTTAACTGAACTTAGGACTGGTGGTGGTGTTTAAGATATTGTTGGTCATAG